CATCTAACCTTGGGCACGTTAATCTACAAAAGCCAATTCTGTGAAATGGGGATAACCGGTAACCAGCAAGGCCTGTGAGGGATGCACGAGAAAACACTATCAAAAGTATCTGGAACTTCTGCTTCCAGCCATAAAGAGTACTTGGTACAGGACTTGTTCTCCCATTATAAATAACTAGAAAAACTGACAAAATATCTGAAACAACTTTTTTCAGACATTGGGTAGTGATCCAAGAGGAAAAAAGAGCCAAAGAAGATAAGCCCTCTGATTCCCACCAGGTTTTCTACCTGAGGTACTTTTGGAACAACAGCACAGAGCATGGCTTCGAAGAGGGAAGCCAAAACATACTGGAGTTCAAGAAGCCTGAGGTAGCTGATATTTGCTGGGCAGAGTATCAAAGAGGAAGAAAACTACACAGTGAAAGAGGTTCAAAAATCTGCATACGGGGGGCCCCTTGAGTCTTGGGCTGAATAGTAAGCTGCAAACACAGAGAGTAAGATTCCAAAAGCCAGGCAAAGAAAAATTATTAGGGTAGTGCACAGCATGGTGACTATAATTAATAATATTGTACTGCATAGTTGAAAGTTTTGCTAAGAGTAGATCTTTTTTTTTTTTTAAAGATTTTATTTATTTATTTGAGAGAGAGAGAATGAGAGAGAGAGAGCACGAGAGGGAAGAGGGTCAGAGGGAGAAGCAGACTCCCTGCTGAGCAGGGACCCCCCCCCGATGCGGGACTCGATCCCCGGACTCCAGGATCATGACCTGAGCCGAAGGCAGTCGCTTAACCGACTGAGCCACCCAGGCGCCCGCTAAGAGTAGATCTTAAAAGTTCTTATCCCAAGAAAAAAATTTTTGTAACCTTGTTTGGCAACACGTTAACTAGACTTACTGTGTGGTAATTTACAATATACACAAGTACTGAATCATTACTTTCTACACCTGAAACTAATAGAATGCTCTATGTCAATTATACCTCAATAAAAGAAAGACAGAAAATCTATTTGGCAAAGAAAAACTACCAGAGAATTGTAAAGCAAACAATTCTCACAGTTCACATAAGACTGGAAGACAGTCAAGTTCTAACCAGCCACAGTAAAGAGACCTCACTGAATATGCAGGTATTCAGACAGAAGAAAAGCCATGCCTTAATAGTAGAGCTAAATTAGAGGATAAAGAACTGCTTCGGTATGCTTTAATAAAGCTTAAGAACAAGATTCATTAGATCAAGCTGTTCTGTAAGTAACATTATCTGCCCACAAAAACAAAGCTCAACACTCCTTTTAAAGACAACAAAATCTAGACACTCAACCATAAAACATTCGCAACATACACTCTCTAATCAAAAGTAACCAGATGCATGAAGCAGTAAAATGTCACTCAAAAGGAGGAGAAAATCTGTTAAATGGAGACCTCAAAGGATCCACAAGAATGAGAGAACTGGTACACACAAACCTTAAAACAGCCATCATAAATATGTTCAAGTATTTAAAGGACAACATGAACCTAATGAGGAGAAAGAGGGAAATATAAGAAAAGAGGACCAAATGCAGTTCTGGCCCTGAAGATGACAGTATCTGAAATGAAAATTTCATTGGACTGGATTAATAGCAGATTAAGACACTATGGAAGAAAAGAAAAACACTGAATTTGGAAGATATATTAACAGGAATAATCCAAATGGAAGCATAGGGGAAAAAAAGGTTAAAAAAAATCAAATCAATAGAGCCTTATTAACCCATGGTATCCTGGTGAGTGATCCAATGTATGTGTAATTGGAGATTCAGAAGATGGGGACAGAAAAAAATAAATCAAGATTGGCAATTACTATTTTTATTTGATGAAAACTATAAAACCACAGATCCAATCACATCTACACTGTTGAACATAAAGGAAATGATCCTTTGGGAACACTTGAACTGGAAAGCTTTCTCTCTCTCTCTCTTTTAGAGGGGATAGGGGCAGAGGGAGAGGGAGAGAGACCCTTAAGCAGGCTCCATGCCCAGCACAGTGCCTGACTTGGGGCTCAATCTCACGACCCTGAGATCAAGACCTGAGCTGAAATCAAGAGTCGTACACTTAACCAACTGAGCCGCTTAGGTGCCCCAGCATTTTCTCTTTTTAATGATTATATTGAAAGAAAGGGTTTCCTGACACAAAATAAGATTGGACAAAATGTGGTGAGATGACCTCCTAGCACACAGAGCCAAGTCTCAACTCTGGGTGTGCCATGGCCAGTGAGAGGCTACTGGGGGTATGCAGGGGCTGGCTTTGACCCTGTCAGCTTGAAGTAAAAGAGATAAATATGCAAACTGCCTCTTTCAGGGCTGCAGAATAGAAATACTCTCTGACTTTCTGTTCCCGGGAGGAAACTTGACCCTCCGAAAGGGCAGAAAAAGAAACTACAGACTCTTCTGCTCATCAGCTTTGCCCTGAAAGGTTACAGGGGACTTAAAGGAGGGCACGGCAGCGAAAAGGAATCCTTTGCTGCTAAACATCACAGAACTGTAAAAGTGTGCCATCAGAGACAGTTTGCTAATCCAGGCTCACCCCCCTCTAGCCTTCACGGTTACTGGGATTTTGAGGCAAAATATGCACAGAGTGCTTATTTTGCTTATTCTAGTGTCTTACTTGACGCCACATTGCTTAAGCATGGTCTTGTTATAGAGAAGGTGTTAAGTGACTTTAGCACCTCCGTGCAAGGCCAGCTATCTGGGTTATTTTGGCATTAAGTACACTAGTAAAAGCTGTTTAAAAGGTGGAGCTGGGGGCACATGTACATGTGGTGGATGCAGGCCCCCTGCATGTTCGGGTAGAACTGCAAGGGCCAGCTGCTACCTGATAAGTGTTATGCAGGGTGGGTGAACCTACACTGTCTCACTTCCACATCCCCCTCTGTTTTGCTGCCCAAATCTAAATAAATACTTTCACTTAGAGACAACTGCTTTTACTAAGAGATAATCTTTACCTATAGAAATGTATTTTGAAAACTTATTTTACACAGCAATTTTGTATCCATTGAAAGTAACCTTTTATCAATAAAGCACTATTGTTTGGCTATTAAAAAAAAAAAAGCATGGTCTTGTTATACATTTCTCACATTGCCTTTCATCATTAAGAAGTGTCTGGGAATGTGTGAATGCACAAATAATAGTCTTATCAATTTCTAATCTGGCCATTCATGCATAGAATCAGGTGTTTATAAGGTCCACAATAGCCAAACTACGGAAAGAGCCCAGATGTCCATCGATGGATGAATGGATAAAGATGTGTGTGTGTGTGTGTGTGTGTGTGTGTGTGTGTGTGTAATATTACTCAGCCATCAAAAAGAATGAAATATATGGAATATATATACATATATATGTGAAATATATGGAATACATATATATAATGGAATATCACTCAGCCATCAAAAAGAATGAAATCTTGCCATTTGCAGTGACATGGAGAGAGCTAGAGGGTATTATGCTAAGTGAAGTAAGTCAGAGAAAGGCAAATACCATATGATTTCACTCATACATGGAATTTAAGGAATAAGACAGATGAACCTAGGGGAAGGGAAGGAAAAATAAGATAAAAACAGAGAGAGGCAAACCATAAAAGACTCTTAACTCTAGGAAACAAACTGAGGGTTGTTGGAGGGGAGGGGGTAACTGGGTGATGGGCATTAAGGAGGGCACTTGATGTAATGAGCCCTGAGTGTTTTATGCAACTGATGAATCACTAAATTCTACCCCTGAAACTACTAACATACTATATGTTTAAAAAAAATAAATAACCAGGGTGCTTATTATATTCTCTTCCCAGATCCTTTCATATAGCTCTTTGTGGTGAGGATAATTTATATAACACAACAAATTGGGACAACATGAATGAAGCTTATAGGGCAAATGTCAGACTCTCTGGAAAAGAAGAGTCTCAGGGCATATTGAGATTTAACATTTTATGCAGTTGCAAGCAGAGTATGGAATGTTAAAATAATATTTAAGAGTTGAGGCTATTTATGGGCTTTAATAGTCTCTCTTGCATGTCGTTTCCAAGTTGGCAACAGCAAAACCATGGCAACAGGAAATTCTTCCCTACAGTGGAGTTTATGAATGCTTTTCTGTTTTCATGACTCAACTCCTTATTTAATTTCCTGTGCAGAAAATCGGAGAGATTACTATAGACTGCAATATAGATGTGCTAATCCAAAGACCCTCTCAATGAAAAACAGGTCACAGGTGTCCATGGATGAATTTTGAGATAAAATTTAAAACTGCCTCCTCACAGACACACAGCAGACGTCAACCTCCTCTAACCTAAATAGATACTTGAGAACTTAACTATGTTATTAATGACTTGGGGAATGGGAGTGTACAGGTATGTTCATGAGCCATAGCTAAAAAAAAAAAAAAAAAAAAAACTCTTCCATCATTGTGCTTTTAATCAACAAATTTCAGGAGCCAATCTAATACCAAAGCTAAGAAGCCTATTTTCTTAGGGATTCAATTAGACTATGAATAATAAAAATAGAAAATAAGCAAACAAAGGCCCTATTACTAGAATATAAAAAATGAGTAAGAAAACCATACGAAGACTGACTGCACACAGATAAGCACAAGGATTATGAAAGAAATTAATGAAAGTAAAAAATTCTAGGGCTTACGACCATTTGGTTATAAGATTCTGGAATTTGCAATCACTCTAACATTCAGCTAAATATAGTGAAATTTATGCGACACTATCCAGGAGCCATTCTGCATGATTTGCACCCACTGCTCTACTACTCTGTTGACACTTCTGATAACGTGATTTTTTTTTTTAACCAGTCCAATCCTAGCTATTTTGATTATAGCCTTCAGTTGTTTCGGTGGCACACCCTCCATCTCCGACTTGCTCTCCACTATCAGCAGCAGTGTTCTGCAGTAAATGGCAATGTTGTTTTACGGGCAATTTAGCAGATGAACATCAACACAGAGGGAGGGAAACAAGCCTAGCAGGAGAGTATAAGTATTTCTTACTTTTGGTGTCAAGCTGTGCACGATACTTCTCAAATCCTTTGAGCCGAACACGTTCTCCCAACAGCTGAAGGAATTCCTCAAATGCCGGGCCAGCTGACTCATTGTTGTACATCTCTTCTTCAGTGCTTTGTCCAGTTCTGCAGTACATGATGCCCACCTTCTGCTGATAGTTCAGCTGTGAAGAGAGGCAGTATATGCATATAAATGTAGGCAGGTCCACTATGCCCCACCTAACTGCTCCTAACTCCTGTAGGGCACATGGCCATCAGAAAGCTAACATCTCTCTTCTCTTGAAATCCTTCTGTTTCAATTTTTCTGTCTCTAGTCCAAAAAATACAGTAGAACAAGCATCTACAACTATAATCTTCACAAGTTAAGAGAAAAGGCCAGAAAAATGAATTAACACTTTCTGTACATCAAGATCATGCATTGTTAGAACAGATGTTGATACTTTAGGGAATTTCTCTGAATGGGCTACAAAGTACAAAATGAGGCTCTAAAAAACAGCTTGGCAAATAAAGGTACTTCTTTTTTAATCATCTTCCCCTTTTGGGGCTTTACAAATTTAAAAGCAGAGGTCCACTTTATAAAAGATACTTTAAAATATATTGTTTCACACTAAAAAGCCCATAAATATACTTGCGAATTCTAGGGTTTTGTTTTTTTTTTTTTTGTTAAAACTGGAAAAGATTTCACTCCCAATGCCATTTTTCCAATACACTAAATTATAAATCTCAGTTATATCTTTGTTAGAGCACTAGCATCATCAACAATATACTTTTCAAATATTTTTCTAAAAGATGAGTGCCTGAATAGAAACTTTAAAAGGGGTTTCATAATGGCAAATAAGCTAGTGGCAAATATTCCTTCCTCAGAGACAGTAAAAAAAACCATTCAGGAGATTTAGGTATGATGTAACATTAATCAAAATATTTACTCATCATTGAAAAGTCTAGTCATTCTGCAAACAAATTTTATGGTGATATTAGTCATTTAACAAGGCATTAGTTTTCTTTTTCTTTTAAGATGTATTTATTTGGAAGAGAAAGAAAGAGAGTGCGCAGGCGCACACATGAGCAAGGGGGGGAGGGGAAGGGGGAGAGGGACAGAGAGCATCTCCAACAGACTCCCCGCTGAGCACGGGAGCCCTACATGGGGCTGGATTCCAAGACCCTGAGAACACGACCTGCGCTGAAACCCAGAGTCAGATGCTCAACTGATGGAGCCACCCAGGTGCCCCAAGACATTAGTTTTTGGTATAAAACTTCTGACTTCTAATTCCGCAGTGAAATCGAGGCACTCCATACTGCTCTGGTCTCTTTCCAGAGTGACAATGCAGCCAATGCATCAGTCAATTTTCATCTCCCAAAGTGAAAGGGGGAAGGGAAGAGGCAAAATTGTTAACAGCTAACATTTACCGAATAGCCACCATATGCCGATCACTGGTTAGTACTTCAGATGCATTAGCTGATCCTCACAACAGCCCAGAGAGCAAATATCCCTGTGTGACACATCAGCATAGTCAGAGAATGGAAGCCCAGTAGCGAGACACAAGACCACAAACTCCATCCTGTGACCCGGCTGGCTCTGTTAACTACTACCAAGATTCAACCAGGCTTGAATCCACAGCCCCTTATTTGCAATTCTGAAGTTGAAAGGTAAAAACCAAATTTAGGCAAACACATGTGGCAGTAAAACTTGATATGGGCTGACATTAATACTTTTAATTTATCCCAGGTTATATGAATATTCGCATTTTTCCCCTGAGGAAATATTAATGTGATTGTGGGATGCTGTCTCAGACCCCAGGGGGAATATTACCATATGGTGTATACATTCTCTTGTCCTTCTAAAATGCGGACATTTCTGAATTCTGAAACCCATCCAGCTCCTACCATTTTACATAAGGGACTGTGAACCTTAAATACTCTTTCCAACTTTTTAAACCAAGTGATTCAGAAGAGTAATGAGAAAATGTCATAGGGGCAAAACTCTCACTTGCTTTCCTCCCTCCACCACACCCTACCTCTTTGACAAGGAAGTGCCACGGCCTTTATACGACCCCCACAGACAGGAGAGCTCCTAGGAGTGACTCTCCCTTGCTCCGCCTACCCCAGCAGGCAGAAGGTCAAGTTCCAAGTCGGAAACTCGCAAATAACTGGATATAGTAATAATGGCATATTTTCAAAACAGCATGTGACGTCACATTATTTCTACTTCCTTTAAATTATCAACAGAAACACATTTGACTTAATTCATTTTCATATCCCACATGTAGGTAAAACAGAAGAAGACAGAATAAAACCTACTGCACACCACTGACATTTCACCCTTCTGTCAGCTGGCCTGTTTCAAATGTCTGAATGTGGCTAATGTTTGCAGGGGTACTCCTACAGGTAGAGATCTCACCTGGGCTTTAGAATTAATCTGAGTACCTACCCTATTAGGTCTCAACAAATAAAAAACAGTGGTGGGCTCTGGGTCAACTACAAAAGAAGTCCTTCATACAGCCACATCTTTCCTGCCTCCCTGCAGGGAGGGCTATCAAAGACATGAAGGCAGGGGGAGAAAGGAAGGGGTTGTGAACGATTTGCTATTTGGCTCTGTGCCTCCCAGATCAGCCTTCTCAGGCCACGATGTAAAACAAAAGTCACCCTGTTCAAGAGAAAGCATCACAGGGACACTGGATTTGTGGATGGCTTTTTAAAACTTCTCAGATAAAGGCCTAAGATTTCACTGTGCAACATTCAAAAGGATTCGTTTATATAAAAAAGGAGTTCACTACAGAGAGAAGTAAGGAAACTTCCCCCAAACCATTGGAGAAGATGTATCTGAGGACAATGAGAGTGTGCCGCCTTCTTCTGACTGATTTCTCATCCTCTAGTGAACTCCACCGGCAGCTCGGGGAACAAACTGGCATCGGCTGCTCGTGAAAAGAAGGAGCCTTTAAGAGGATTAGGAAATGTGTTAGAATGTCAGATTCCCTCTGGTTTGAAACTGTGCCAAATGTCACTGCTCTAACCTCTAACATGACAATATGACTGTATTTGTGGCTTCTACTGCAATTAAATCAAGGTAGGTGGTATTCTCTGAACGCAGGCTCCTGGCATCCTCAGTTAGCTACCCTGCTCCCTGCGAGAATAAGAGGAGCTGGTAGAGAAGAGTTAGGTAAATATGATATGGGCTATTGCAAGAGAAAGAGCAAACATAAATGAAAGCAGAGCTATGGTTTGGGGTTTTAAGTCGTTAGGAGGTTATATAAAACAGCACCTTTTTTTTTTTTTGAGACACACACAAACACATCTGTATGGATTTACATACATGAATATACAATCCTTCCATGTAATGCTCAAAATAGAGTTATGAGGACACCAGAAGCCATCCTGGGAACAGGTTGTGTTTATCCACAGTTTAGGATTTTCGCTTTGGATAATCTCAGGGCCATGCTATACAATTCCATGCTTGCCTATCAACTGTTCACAGGGAGCATTCTGGAAGTGTTTGAAAACCCACAAATGTTTCTACTATAATAAGTACTGATGGTCAATCCAACAGGACAAAGGTTATATTTGACAGGAAGGTCTTGAATCTCAATAAAGCAAAGTGTCCTTAAAACCGACCAAAAGTGACATGGGCTCTCACAGCTAGGAACCAACTAGCTAGTAGATAAAATTGTTCTTCCTCTAATAAAGTGGATACTTCAACACAGAATCAAAGAAAGAAATACTACCATCTGATTTACACAGCCCTGAGTGTCTGGGAAAGATGGATGATAAAGTCAGAGCCCTCCACCAATAGAAACAGATTTGAGTAACCAACTTCTCAATTCTACATTTGCACCTCTTCTTGCCTGGTGTCCCAGCCTCAGGAAGGCTACTGGGGCAGCAAAGACCAAGAGAACAACCCAGTTCTCAAATTCTTATAAAATCTTTACATTGTCTGACTTAATCCAGAAATTTCAAACCGTCACTATGAGTCATGGTATCTCATTGTGAGGCAATTCTCAGAGTGTGGGCCATGAAGGCTTGAGGGTGCTTGAGCTTTGCTCTGGGACATAGATATTTAGAAATAGTTTGATCTTTTCAGTTCTTGCTTTTAAACTCTGTTAGGCTGTACAACACCAATGTTTAACTTAAAGACAATTTTGCCCCACTACTGAGGCTAAACCATCCTGGGATGACTCCTCTGCCATGTGAACTAGGAGGTTCTCCAGTCGGCCTGGTGGAGGCAGAAGCTATTCCTGGCCTTGTGGGACGACTGAGGATTTGCCCCCCTAAACCTGGAAGGTGGTTCCCACGCTGGACTCAAGTCATTTCCTCAAATGCATGCACTTACTAGTACTCATCTCTGCAAACTCCACCCTTCTTGGTTTCCCCGGACTCACCTGTAAGTCTCAACTCAGGAGACTGCTGGGCTTCCACGGACGCCCCCCAAACTCCTGCACTGCAGTCCGCAAACTCTTCAGGCAGAAAGCTGGTGTGATCTCACTGTCCTTTGCTGCCTAATGCCCAAAGTCCTAAAAACCAACTGTTTCATTGTTTTACCTAGTTTTTTTTTTAAATTGTTTCTGATGGAAAGGTAAATCAGTCCCTCTTTCTTAATCTTGGCTAGAAGCAGAAATCTGCCTTGAATTTTTAAATCAACTTTATTGGTATATAATTTCTGAACAGTAAACTGCATCCATTTGATTAAATGAGTTCTAATACACCTGTACCACCATCAAAATAGAGAAAATTTCCATCATTTCCGAGTTTCTGATTCCTCTTTGTAGCCCATCCCTGAATCAACTAACTCAGATGATCACTGCCCCCCCTGCAACTATAAATTACTTTTGCTTACATTTTTAAAGACTATTTTTGTCGGGTAAAATCCACTGTGAAAGTTACTCTTTTGGCACTCTAGAAACCTATGCTGGCTTCTACCTTTTCTTTAGGCTTCAGAGCCCAACAAATGATTGATTTTAACAGCTGACTGTCCTATTCATCTTTGGAGGTCCTTTTTCCCTCTGACTGTTTATGGTCTTTCTCTTTTTCTTCTATTTTCAGAAATTTTTATCCTGATGGACCTATGCCTGATTTTCTTTATATTTATCATGCATAGGGCAGGCAGAGCTCCATAAATCCATCTTAATTCATTATCTTTCAACAGTTTTGGAACTCTTTCTACCAATTTATC